TCTTTCCGTGTCGGGTGAAAGACGATTTGAGGGCGCCGGTCCCGGCATAAATCTTCGAAAGAGCATCACCATTGTCAGCCCAAATGGTCGAATGCCGAACCTGTAAGTCCGAGCTGAGCCTGCCGCCTTGCTGTGATAAGAATGACTCAAATGCCATCGAACTGATGATGGTCTGGACGAGGTTTGTTCTGTCCAGGCAATCCAGGCAATTGGTCCGAAAAACACCCTCTTGCTGTAGAATGACTGAAGAGTTGTTCACTGCATCAGCTCCGTCGTAGGAAGTTTTATTAGGACGACCTGAATCTTCCGACAAAAAATAGGAAAACTCATCTAATGAGCTGATAAGCTCATGTTTGATCTGGGAGCTCGCTTCGTATCCCGAAGGACCTCGGGTCTCAGCAAGGAAATCGTATTCGGTCATTCGCAAAAGGCTCCGACGTGGAGATGTCCCATCACCTTCTTTCTGTCGGGTCGAGCTCTTATTGATATGCTGTCGAAACTTGGATGACAACTCTGCTTCCCCGGGCTTCAGCTCACTTAGGAGATTTACCACATGTACTGCACCATATTCCAGCTCCAGGGATTCAAAGTGTTTGTTGAATGCGTGCTGTGTTGCGTCGCTTGACCGCGTGACCTCGATCTTTTGCTGGCCCGGAATGAGGCCTGGAGCTTGTTCCCAGAAAATAGGCACCGAGCCTCGGACTTGAGCATATGAAAATACAATTCCCGGTGAAACCCACAGAATAGTTTCGGTTTCCACGAAATTGGCAACATGCCCATCATCATCGATGCCTCTCGAGTTAAACCTCGTACCAGCACGCCGAGAAGATTGTCGGGATATAATTGTCAACATCGAAGCAAAGTTTGTGCGCACATGAGGAAGAATTGAGATGGTCGCCGGTACTTTGAGTGTACTGGCAAATCCACGGATAACACAGGTCAACATCTGCGATGCATCTAATTTGGCTTTATCGGACGGCGGCAAGTGGCTCCGGAAAAAGAGAAGCGGACTAATCATGTAAGAATTCCACAGCATATCTTCATCAAGAGTGTCGATGTCGAATGCCACAGATTTGTTGGCCCTGGCAATATTGTTAGCTGAAGAAGATCGGCTAGTGAAGAGCAAGGAGCTGACAGCTTACCGGTCCTGTAGGCGATCTGTGAGGTTGAAATCAAGACTATAATAGAAACTTCCATCTCCAAGGAGCTTCTTCAATGCCAGGAAGGGATGGTCAGTTACCACATCCTTCCCGTCTGTGCCAAGTCGCTCCTCGGCGGCGAATTGAGACCCGGTCTCATGGTCTAGACCATACTCGTATTCTGAACGATTGAGACAATCTAGTATCATTAGCAATAATTTGACTAGATTGTTGCATGGGAAACATACAGAAACCTACATTGTCAATCCTTGACACGGTTTCTCCAGGTCTCACCGTGGCAGCTTGCGAGGAGCTGGTGACAACGCAGACAAAAACATCTTCATTGAGAGTAACAAGACCAAGGGTACCATATCCATATCCCAACGGTCTGTAACCTTGCAGGTCCACTTCCCCTAGGTCCGCGAACTCAACTTGACAGCGTGGGCTGTCCTTCGCACTGGTATCTGTTGATGTGTAGTGGAACACTAGAGCATGGTCTGATGAGACCAGTGCAATTGTACGTTGAGGCTGATCTCGACAGAGAACCCGAAGATTCGACATGACGCGAGAGAAATCAAGATGTGGGGAGAAGCAGTGGCATTGCTTCCACAATAGTTTATCCTATTTCGGCGATTTATATATCCCAGAGGAGAACCACTTCACCCCAAGAACCTGAATAAAATGAAGAAATACTTTCAACCTTCAATATATCCGCAATGAAATCTTCAATAATTAAAAACAAATATATCAGAATTATTGTTGAAGGTGGATCGTTGTCAAGAGCTCCCACGAGGTCTCCCTTCTCCCCCGCGAGGTCGGGCCCTGTGGAGGCCTTATCGATTGCTGACTCATCCCGCTTTCGACTTTTTTTTTTCTTTTCTTTTTAATTCTTCGATCTCCAAACACTTCTCCGTTTGATTCAACATTGTCGCCATGGGTTTAGCAGGGCCGCGGAAGTATGCGATAGAACCTATTCCTCTCATATATGATTTTCTAACGCGTGAGTAGGAGTACCAAGATCGGCAATGATCCCAATAACACCAAATGGACCCGGTCTACAACCGGGTTCGGACATCGGATCATGAGCTCTCAGGGCTGGACTCCTGGAAGTCTTTTGGGAGCAAAGGACGCCGCACACGCCAATTTGTTGACCGCCGCCAGCAGTTCCCATATCAAAGTCACCCTCAAGGACGATAATCTCGGATTGGGTGCTCGTATTGGACGAGAGACTGAGCCGACTGGACTTGATGCCTTTAAAGGATTGCTTGGTCGACTCAATGGCAAAAGCGAAGTGGAATTGAAGAAGGATGAACGAAAGCGCGATGACGTTCGATTGGCTCGATATGCCGCCCTGAAATTTCCGGAAGTCCGGTTCGTCAGCGCTGGACTGTTGACACAGGAGAAGGAACCCGAGGTTCCTACGCCGACTCCCAAGGACGCGACATCGAAGAAAACCAAATCGGACAAAAAAGAACGCACAAAGACCACAGACAGCGACGAGACTTCTTCAAGTGAATCAGATGCCCCAGCCCGCAAATCCAAATCCAAATCCAAGTCCAAGTCGAAATCTAAGAAATCACGCTCTCGAGACGAAACGGATGGCAATGAATCAAGCTCGGAGCCAAAGAAGAAGAAGAAGTCCAAGAAGAGAAAGGCTGATTCCGCTGAGAGTGATTCTTCAGACAAGGCATCTGAACCAAAAGTTAAGATAGTAGCAACGATATCAAGGGAGCGGCGGCCTATGGGACGGAATGTCACTCGGTCACGCCATATCGCTCAGAAGAAGAGAGCTATTATGGACGACAAGTCTCTCAACGAGGTAAGCTATGCAATAACTATTTTCTATGATCTGTTTGCTAACATGAACTAGATCTTCATGATCAAAGCATAGAGTTTATGCACATCTGCATCTGAAGCGCATTGGGACATAAAACTTGGAGTTATCTGGTGTTTGCACTTTTTATGATTTCCTGTTTTGAACTAGATATATCCTATGAATCAAAAGAATTCCAATATTGAACATGATAAAAGAGTTATCCGATACTCTAGGGTTATTATTGTACCATGTACAGATTGTATATGTCTACGGCTGATATATACATGCCTCTCGGGCCCGGGGGCCCGGGGGAAACACATGGATTACCTAAGCTGGTCCGTTTCCAGGTGCCTTGCGGTATCCACAACCAACGTCATATCAGACAACTTAGCGTATGCCCCTAATCCTTGATTGCTCGGCATTGGGGGTGCACAATTTTGTCTCACATCATAGAAGAAGCTGTACAGATCACTTGCATCGAATCCTCGACGGAGAGATCGTTCCCGGGATCCACCGCAGCTCCCGATAATCTTTAGTGATCTACATGAGCTTTAGCATCTCTCGCATTGCCACGACTCGAGCTGGGATAGGGCGTTGTGCAGAAGTTCTGTCACCACAGAGGGTTGTTTCTCCTCCCATCCGACAATGAACGGGGAAACTCGATCAGCTGGGCGTGTCTCGGCGCCTACATCGCAGTCGACCCGTGGAAGAAAACGGTAAGACATGTCCAACAACTCTTCAATTTACCCACAACTGACCTTATACAGCATCCACTGGGCGCCTTTGAATATTGGGCTTGAGCGACGCCTACAAACATTTGTGGTGCTATGCCACACCTTGACCATCGCTATCTTCTTGACCATCTTCTTCTTTACCTGTGCCATTCCGTTGTCCTGGCCACTCTTGGTCCCATATCTCGTTTACATATCTCTCTTCTCTACTGCTGCTACGTCGGGGCATCTCAAGGGACGCAGTTCTTTCCTGCGCTCACTACCTATCTGGAAAGTGTATGCATCTTACTTCCCTGCTCGTCTTCACCGCGAGGAGTCGCTTCCGCCTACAAAGAAGTATATCTTTGGATACCACCCACATGGTATTATCTCCCATGGCGCCTTCGCCGCATTTGGGACGGAAGCCTTGGGCTTCTCCAAGCTTTTTCCAGGAATTACCAACACTCTGCTGACGCTGGATGCGAACTTCCGCATTCCTTTCTACCGAGAATACGCACTTGCCATGGGAATTGCCAGTGTTTCTCGGGAATCTTGTGAGAATATTCTAACCAAAGGCGGCGCAGATGGAGAGGGCATGGGGCGAGCAATCACGATCGTCGTGGGAGGTGCCCGTGAATCTCTCAATGCCCGGCCTAATTCCTTGCGTCTGGTGTTGAAGCGACGCAAAGGGTTCATCAAGCTCGCTATTCGAACGGGAGCTGATCTGGTCCCTGTATTGGCTTTTGGTGAAAATGACCTCTACGATCAAGTAGACTCAGATCAGCACCCAATCATCCACAAGATTCAGATGCTTGTAAAACAGACGTTAGGATTCACTATTCCCCTGTTCCATGCACGCGGTATCTTCAACTACGATGTCGGACTGATGCCCTATCGAACCCCTCTCAATATTGTGGTCGGACGACCAATCCCGGTCATGCAGCAGAAGAACCGCGACAAGATCAACGATCAATACATTGATGAACTCCATTCACGATATGTGGAGGAGCTGATGCGGCTGTGGGATCAGTGGAAAGATGTCTATGCCAAAGACAGAGAAGGCGAGCTGGAGATCATCTCATGATAATGCATCCACTCTATGTATATGGTTTGACCAGTCCACTACAACATATGGACTTCTTATGGGCATATTATACAGCATATGGGGAAATAAGTCAAGAACCAAAATCAAACACTCGATTTCCAAATGTAGTTCGGGTTAAACACACAAGCAAGAAAGTAAACCTATGAATTGGGTATCAGATCAAACAAAATCAAAGAGCTTCCGCAAAAGGACAAAATCAAAATCAAAGTAGAAACAACGTATTGAGGTTTTCATCCTCGGAATGGCGAGCTCAGGTTTGGATTCCACGAGGGAGCAGTTGGGTTTAGACCTGGCACCTCCGCTGATGAGGATTCTCGTCGGCTTTCACTAGCAATGCTCCTGTTCTTAGCATTGTGCCCACTGTCTGCTCGACCCTGAATCATTTCCTCCAGCATGCGTGAGACCTCGTCCATATTCTTCCCCGCGTCTTCCTTTTCACTTCTACCAGACAAGGGACGCTTGTCTGGACTCTCAGATTGTGCAATGAAGCCATTGGTCCCTGCAAAACTATCTGCATCGCCAGCAGTAGATCCACTCTTGCTCTTGAGCTCTGGTGACTGCGAGTCATTAGTCACAGCAGCCAAGTCTCGATGGCGAGCTGCGGATCGAAGCGCGGCAAGCATGCGATCTTTATCATCGAGTTGCAACCGGAGCTCATTGATCTCCATATCTTTCTCGCGGACCAAAGCCGAGACATCTGGATGCTCGGCAATTGTGGCATTTGCGGGCTTAATACCCACTGACATCCGGGAATGACTAGACCGTCTTGCCTGGAGCAGCCGGCGCTCCAGGGTAGAGATGTACCGGTTCTTATCACCGAGATCAGCTTGCAGCGCAGTGACCTGTCGTTGTAAGCTGGCTTTGCCATCGCCAAATTCACCAAGGTCGTATTCGTCCTCGTTGCCAAACGATCCTCCTGGATATAGCATACCCGATGAGGGATCGTTGCTATTGACTGATATGAACGAGATGGGTCGAATCGATGAATGGCCGGCACCCAGTGTAGATTGACTGGCGGAAGAACGTAGTGACCGCGCACCCGAATCTGTTGCAGACATGCGGGAAAGACGTCCAAACGCAGAGAGGCTGTTATGGTTGTTTACGCCGGTGGACTTGGAGCTCAAAATCAGGCGATTGAGATGCTCGATCCGCTCTTTGAGCGCCGTCCGCGCCAACTGCATTTCCAATACCTGTTCCTCGTGTCGGGCCTGTGCTTCCTTTTCATACTGCTGCTCGTCCCATTTGAGCTCCTTTTCCGCCTGGGATTTGGCCTGGGTATCAAGCTGACCGCGAAGAGCCTGAATCTCCATACGGTATCGTTCAAGCAGTACCCGACTACCGGAATCACCACCGCCGCCGCCGTATGCCTCCTCGGCCTTTTTGGCGTGACTGACTATATTATTCTTCGCCCGCGCAGCGAACTTCATGGTATTCAAAGTTTCACCGGTATGCGAATTGACTGCGCTCGTGAATTGAATGGTGCACAGAATACTCACAAGCGAGCCACCGGACAAGGCTGGCTGCAGTAGTCGGGTCAACTTGCTATCCCGGTAAGGCAAATGCCTCCCATCGCGGTCCGTGGGGTTGCCTTGCTTATCCTTGTTCTCTGATAGCCGAGAGATGATGGTGCCTAGAGTGAGCAGACTTTTGTTGATATGGGCACCTTCTGTGCGGCGTTCCTTATCATCAGCCGCACGTTCAGAGCCAGCCAGATCAATCAGACTCAAGGTTGACACCCGGACACCACCCGGGGCGATCCCGGAGCGCTTATCTTGAGAGCTGCCAGAGGGCACTCGCTCTCGACTCTCGACCACGATCTGAACCACTGCGTGACTTCGAGAACTGCGCGCATTGAACTGTGTGCTGCTCGTTCGTCGCGCGTGGTCACCTCGGGCGATAACACGGAGAAGTTGTGTCGGGCTCTGGACAATCTCTTCCTTGAGCGGCGTTGCATATACTCCTCGTTTGCTGTCCTCTCTCAATTTGATTTCCTCCTGGGCTCCGGCGGGGCCGTTGGCAGCGGAAGCAGAAAGAAGATCGTTAATCTTCTCGTTGTATATTTCCAGATAGCTGACCCGCAGCAAGAACTCCCGATGTGGGGTCTCTCTGATGAAGGAAAAGATGTCGGTGATTGCGAGTGGAATTACACCGGGGGATGTGGCAGTGCCCTGCATAGAGAAGGTTTTTCCGGTTCCCGTCATACCATATGCAAAGACCGTTCCATGATAACCCTCCATGACACGCCGAACAAGACGTTTGGCAGCCGAATCATAAACTTTGGCGTTGTTTTCTTGTGGATTAAAGACATTATCTGCTCCACGGTTAGTTCCGAACGGGCAGTAAGGAATGTCGTTCTCACCATAAAAGTAATCTCCTCCTTCTTTCCCGCGGTATGAGATGAGGCTTTGCCGACTATCGACGGACCATTCACCATGATTTCGGGAAGTCTCTCCATTGTTGTTGTCGGGACGAACACGCACGCTGACAAGCACGTTGCCCTTGATCTCCTTTGGCTTAGAGCTTGATTTCCCCGTCGGATCATCTGCATCCTCAAAAGTCGTCGCACTCGTTGAGCAAGATCCTTGGGCGGATGAGCTTCTGCTATGGGTTGGAGATGCCTCCGGATCTCGCGCATCTCCACTGGATATGAATTTACCTTCTCCACTACCATTGAGTAATGATGGAGTCTTTGAGCTCCGGTAGCTGCTCGTAGTTCCTGTGCTCAACCGCGAGCTTCTTTGGGGTCGCACACTGGAAGTAGCACCTTGGATCCCAGAGAGCGATGATGCAGTGGATGGACGACTGCTGGCCTTTGGTGGTTGGGGGAATGACGCGATACTAATTGTTCGGCGCAAAGATTTGTCGGGACTACCCGGAGTGCGCCCACCGGAAGTTGACCGGGCATTCAGGTTGGAGGTTGAGTTTGACGTTGATAGAGGCGACTTGAGCGATGGTTTGGGGCTGGATGGGGTCCGCAGTTTGGAGGCCTGGTAAGGGGATGCAGCCCGTGGTGTGTCGGAAGATGTAGACTTTCTGGGTTTAGGGTTGGGGAGAGGCGGTAACGATCCAGTTGGAGGTGGTAGCCGTGACAGCTGCGAGGGCGGTAATGTTGACATTGAGGTCATCTCTTTGAAAACGCGAATGGATTTATTCAATGAATGGCCATGCGAGCAGATTGAGTCTGTGTCATTATAATTAGCCAACTGAGACATATGATCCTTTAGGAGACAAATTGGGGGTTCAGAGTCTCGGAGATCGAGACGCGATAACGGATGTGTTATGTTATGATTTAGGTCTCGGGTACTCACAGATTCAAGACATGCGATGTTGCAATTGCGACGGGGGAAGAGTAGAGAGATGAAAATCAAGATGAAAATATGGAGAGGCGAAGAGAGTAGATGTGTAGAGAGAGAGAGAGAGAGGGAAGGGAAAAGTATCAAAATAATCCCCGCAGAGAACGGGGCCTTAATATATTATTTAATACCTTTAATACCTTTAAATATCAAGTATATCTCTTAAACACTCTTTTCTTTTTCTTTTTCTCCTAGATAATAATAATAACTTATATAAAGTATATCCTTCTTCTCCTCTATATCCCTCTATAAAAAAAAAGGGGGGGGGGGGGGATAGCATAGTAAACCACAGGGGCCTCTGGGAAGCTCGGAGCATCTTTCCAATGATAGGCAGTGGAGGTTTCAAGTACGGGAAGTCGAGGGGAAAAGGGGGCGAATGAGATGTCTTAAGCTTGTTTTTTTTTTGGGGATCTCATTATTGTGACTTGAAAGGTATCTGGAGATCTGGGGGGAAGAATGGGAAACTATCTCCTTAAGGGCTGAAGGAGTATAGGTATCTCTCCCTATACAGGTGAAGCTTGGGATGAACTCCTGTTCGAATAAATCAAGTAAAGATTAACAGATAAATCAAAATTAAAATTAGGCGTTGATCCTCATTTCCCGTCCCGTGTATATATATCTATATCTATATCTATATCTACAAACTAAAAGTATAGACCTTGGAAAACCTCTTAAACTAGAAAGGACCTATAATTTTTTTTATAGGTAAACAGGTGGATTACCCTGGCAATGACAGATAATGGGGAAAATTGCGTTTCCCTTCTCTCTTCCAAGCTACATGGACTTCAGCCCTGGAGACAATCCAATAGTTGCTGCAGATGCCAATGCCATGCATATCTAAGTGTCTCGGCTGAATAATACCATTATTACCCTGGCTTTGTTTTTTTTTTTTTTTTTTTGTGTATCTTGTGTGTTATTTCATACCGAAATCCAGTTGCCGGGCAGCACTCTTGAACATACCCTCATCCTCCCCACCTCGTCGGGTCAAATCATCTCCCATCTTTTTAGTCCCTCCAGATTTCCGCGGGAGATCTTCATTCTTAGTCGGCCGGGGTTCAATTGTCCACCAATTGTGTCGCAGGCACTGGACAGCTGTACTGCGCTTGCGTGGGTCAAGCGCACACATCGACATCAGCAGATCGGCGCCCACCGGACCTGCAGTGGGAAACTGTCGCATGAAGAAATCGCGCCCTTGCAACGGCACCAAGTGGGCCTTGTCAGTGGCAATGTAGTAGGGCAATTTGCTGACCCCAGGCCAGTTCTCTTCCGTTGGGGTGCCGAACGCTTCGCAGATTTTGGAGGTTTGGTCCAGGTCAGTATTGCCCGCCACGAATGGGACCCGGAGCAGGAGCTCGGCAAAGACCATCCCCATGGACCAAACATCGACCGCGCCGGAGTATTGTCGCGCGCCGTAGAGAAGCTCGGGTGGCCGATACCATCGAGTGATGACCTGATGGGTCATGTTGAACAGGGGATCGGCAAAGGATCTGGCGAGACCAAAATCGGCCAATTTAACCTCCCCATCTGACGCGATCAGCAAGTTGTTAGGCTTGATATCCCGGTGGAGAACAAAGTTCTCATGGCACCACCATACACCCCGGGCAAGCATCCCCATCCAAGCTTTGATATCGGCCACACCGTAGTGAATATCACTGTCTTTGATGAGCATCTCAAGATCTCCACCAGGAAGAAACTCAAGAACCAAGCTTAGATTTTGATCCTTGGAGGAGAAGACATCGTGGAGGGCAATGACATTAGGATGCTTCAGCTCTTGAAGATACTTCACTTCACGAACCGCATCCATAGCAAGTCCATCCTTGTATTCGGCATTGACTTTGATCTTCTTGATCGCGACGAGGGATGAGGGATCATGTCGGAGGTGGCCAACATAGACCACGGCATATGTACCTTCACCTACTTTCTTGTCTAGTTCTATGTTAGCATACCGATCCCTAGAAAATAATGCATATGTTCAAATACCTTTGACGTATCGTTCCCGGACATCAATATTCAGTTGTTCGGTGAGTTCGCGATCCCCATTTTGCACAGGCTTTGACACAGCTGCACCTACAGGTCCAGCAACTGATTTTTGTGCAGTAGCTCTCAGCCTGATTGCTGTATTTGGGGAATGCACAGTCATGGATGGCGAACGAGAGCCGAAGGGTGAGAGTGCCATGATTAAGGTGGTTTGAAGCACAAGGTCAAAATTATAGGGAGCGACAAGAAGTGAAAAAGAAACAGCCACAGATTATTTAGTGGCCACTATAAATATTAAGAGATCATCTTCAGCAAAAAAAAATATGAGGTGAAGGCAGTATTGTCGAAAGATGAGGGCCGATGTCATTTCCCCCATAGGCCCGGAATATTGTTAATCCTGGACTTTGTTGGCGACTCCCAAAATTTCTCCAAGTCAGTCAACAGCGAACCCCCGGCCAATTCCTCGGCAACTGCTGGAAACCTATCAACTTCAAAGGCATTGCTTAGCAGGCCCCCTCATAGATACTACGAATCCCATTTTCGGAAAAAAAAAGCACGAGAGTTACCAACAAAATCGGGGCTTGCGGCATCCTTCCCGCAACACCTTTCACCATGAGCGTCATGGCAATGCGCAATTCACCGCTAGGCAGCTTGACAGCGCGCCTATTCAAGCCTGTGTCAATTTCCAATCAATACATTCGATCACTCCACAAGAACGCGCCCCCGCCTGTGCCATCTCCGACCCCTTTCGTTCCGGACGTCCAGACCTTCCTCACGCTGATCGGCCGTGAAATGTCCAAGCAAGCGAGCAAGATTCCCTCATGGGAAGAACTTTTCACTTTAAACTCCAACCAGCTCCGCCAAGCAGGCATTGAGCCAGCTCGCCAGCGACGGTACCTGATCCGGAAGCGCGAGAAGTTCAGGAACGGACTGTACGGCCCTGGAGGTGACTTGGAGACTGTGGTCGATGGCGTTGCACAATTGCGGGTTGTTGAAGTGCCTATCAATGCTCGAGGCCTGACACATGAAGCACAAGCGGCAGTTCAAACTTCTTCCGCTACACTGTCCCCCGGCATGGTGAAAGCCATTGTTAACCTGGCACCTGATGTCACTACATATCAGTATGGCAAGAAACAACTGATCAAGAAATTTGCGCACATGAAGATTCACCGTGGATGTCAGCCCATGGGTCCGTTCCTTCAACCCTTGAAGGGTTCCGATGGTACTGCGGCTACCATTTCGGTCCAGGAGGGCATGTGGGAGGACAGGCGGGGACAGAAGGTCGATGGCGGTGAGCGACGACGCCGGGAGGTCCAGAACAAGAAGAGGCTGGATGAGAGAAAGAAGGCGTGAATGTGAACGGTGAAATACCACTTTGTGTATCTTGCATATTTCTTGTTGAGCCTGGATGTTCAAATTCGAACTGTACTATACTATTGCTATACTATTGCAATCATGATTTCTTTTTTTTTTCCATCTTCAGTTTTCTGGGGATAAGTGAGGCGTTCTTATGCCTGATTAAAATAATATGGTTGAGCTATGTGGACATTTAGAGAGAAAGATGCGATTCAAAATCGCGATAAGTGAATATTCATACAGCAGAATCGTCTCAAAGTGAAGAAGAAAGAAATCCATGATGCTAGAGCTGTCAAATCCACCGTAGTGAACCTGGCTCAAGTTCAGTCTGAACCTTTGCGGCATCAATGCAGGGCATTAAAAAAAAATGTGATCAAAATGTGAATGGGAATCTTTTCTAAAAAAAACAACTCCGATCATGCTTTGACTCCACGCTTCTCGTACTGAACAAAGGATGTACCCAGAGGCTTGGAGAAGAGGGACTAGAATGTGGTTAGTTAAAACACCCAAGTTAATCGGGATAGAGCATCACTTACTGAATAATCCGTCTCGGGGAAGGGTGAATCAGCGTTAGGCTTGGAGAACTTGAAATGTCTCACCAGCGCAGCCAGAATTGTGCCCAGTTGCACATAGGCAAACTGCTCACCAATACAGCGATGGCGACCAGCACCGAAAGGCAGGTAAGGACTGTTGGTGCCCTTGGTAACCAGTCCATAACCATAGTCGATCTGTTCCTCTTCCTCTTCCTTGGTAGTCTCAGTGTCAGCCTCATCCCAGCGGTGGGGGTTCCACTTCAGAGGCTCGGGGAAGAACTCTGAAGAGCGAGCAGTAACACCGGGAGATGAAAGGACATTGTGAGTGGTAGGGATGACATAAGAGGTACCTTCCACAGGCATGGGGTTCTTGACGGCGCGAATGATCGAGTGGATAGGAGCGTGGAGACGGAGGGTTTCCTTGATCACCTTGGAGTGCAAGTCGAGCTTCTGGAGTCCTTCGTGGGTGAGAGGAGGGAGGTCAGAGCCCAGGATCTGGAGTTGTTCTTGGTAAAGTTCCTCCACAATCTCAGGGCAAGCGGCCAGGCGCAGAACAATCCAGGCAGCAGTCGAGGAGGAAGAGTGCTGGCCCGCCATAAGCAACGCAATCATCATGTGGGCAATTTCCTCATCAGGAATGGGGGTGCCATTCTTGTACGTGCACGACATCAAGTTCCAGACCATATCCTCGGAGTCCTTCTTCTCACCAGATGCACGGCGCGCCTTGATGATATCCATGTACGTCTCGGTCATCTTCTTCTGTGCGGCATCGCGCTTGCGGTTGTGGGGGAGCGGGGCCCATGGTAGCATGAAGTTGATGGGAGCGAAACCTTTATCGAGGTCGTGATACATCTCAGCAAAAGTCGAGTCGAATCGATCGCGGACCTCCTGTCCTTGCAACGAGCGGGATGCGGTGTAGATTGTGATCTCGGCAATGACCTTGGAAACATTGAAAGTACCCTTGTTGTCCTGGAGAGCGGGAGAGTTCTTCACGAAGTCATCGACCTCATTGGTGATCAAGCGAACATAAGACCGAAGTGCCTCGGAAGTCAGTCCAAATTTGACAAACTATGTAGCGGTCAGTAGCCAGACTTTGTGGTCTAGTCAATTCCTTCATACCTTCTTCTGCTCCATGAGCTTAGCATTGGGGCAATCGTAGACGACGTGACGACCGAAGACGGGGGTGGTGAGGGGAGAGTAAACCTCTTCGGCGTTCACATCACGAAGCTTGCCATTGAGGATGAACTCGTTGCCCTTGGTGCCTAGGTAGACGGTGGTCTTCTTGCCCAGGAGGATGAAAGTGAAGATATCGCCATACTGCCAGCGTTAAACCCCCAAATTAGCAATTGGCATTCTTCTGTGGGCTACCCATCTGCGATCGACATACCTTTGCGCGAGCATTGTTGAAGAACGTGTATGGGTCCATGCCATAGCTAATGGTGCTTCCAACAAAGGGGACCCAGTGGAAGACCACGGGGGGCTCATGGGCTTTCTTAAAGAAAAGTTGGCGCAGCACATTGATTACGACTGAGAGCGCAATGAACGACAGTGCTCCAACACTAGCCAAAGTGTAGATTGACTGGGTCGAGCAGTGCTCGCAGAAGGTTGCGAGGAAACTTGAGAAGAGGCCCATGTTGTCCAGAAGCAAAAGGAGAGAGAGTGAAAGAAAAGAGAATCAGAGCCACAAAAAAATAAAAAAATACCGGGCTCACAGTATATAACCCTCAATAGAAGAGAGAAGAGAAGATTAAACAGGAGGCGAAGGGAAAATAATTAAGTCCGATATCATTCGGCGAGAGATAGACCCGCCCCTGGTCTAGAGAGATGCCAAGCATATATCGTAAGGTATGTATTTCTTTATTACTCCTATTTGACTATTTAATGCCCTATTAAATGCCTATTAAATGCCTATTAAAGGGGTCCATTTAATGCTCTATTTTATGCCCGTTTCTGTCCATTTCTATCTATTTCTATCTTATGAAATTGGTATTGGCCATCACGCCACTCCGGCCAGGGGGTTCCCGCTATATGATTTTATGGAGTACGGAAGTACTAACTTGACTACGGAGTACGGATGTACGTATTAACTATATTGAATAGGTAAGACTGTACTCTTTCTTGAAAAGCATTTACCTATCTTGTACGGAGTACGGGGTAAAATATTTCTAATGTATCATTCCAGTGTTTTTGACCTAACTATGTGTACATGAACTCCCGATACACCCTGATAATGATATCCCATACGCAAAACCTTGATCAATAAGAATAAAAAAGTACAAAAACCCCTTAATTGTCGTACAAGTTAGGATCACCACGATCCCCAATGTTGATGAAATCTTTCGGGGCCCGGTTGCCACTGGGTGAGACTTCACGTTGGGACTTGGATGGTCGGTTGTGCACACGTTTCCCGGCTTCATTTCGGAATACTTTGACCGGTTTCTCGCTGCCTTCGACGTGCTCGCTGAAGTGAGCATCGTTGATGCTGCTCAACAGGGTCCGCTCCCGCTTAAACTTGCGCTTAGTAAAGTCCAATTTACCAAGAGCCCCTGTCAGGCCATCTGTGCTGTCAGTGACACTGGGGTACTTTCCGCTCATCCAAGGATGCTCCAGACACTCATCCACCGTGATTCTCTTGTCGACGTCCACGGTAAGCATCCTGTCGATTAGGTCCAGAGCGGGATCGCCAACAGAGTCCCAGTACGGTGACGGGTAGTCAAACTTGCCCATCTTGATCTGTTGGGCGAGGGTCAATGGGTTATCTGGAGTGTTCAACTCATCCGAGAACGGCGGGAAGCCACAGAGACAGATGTAGAGAACAACACCAAGGGACCATACATCCACAGCCTTGGTGTATTTTCGGTGGCGGGTATCTTGTAAGATCTCCGGGGCAACGTCTGCGAAATTAGTATTCACACTGAGGTTTCAAGATCTCATACTTTGTGACTTACAACTTGGTGTACCACAGCTGGAAAAGAATAAATGTTAGCGATCATTCACATTGACATGGACGAGGGGTTCACCTACAGGGTCGTCGTGAAAGATTCTTCCCCAATAATTTTAGCCAGCCCAAAGTCACCCAATTTCACATTCAAATCCCTGTCTGCGACCAGAATATTTTCTGGCTTGATATCTCGATGCACAATTCCTCGTTCGTGCTGATGATACGTTAGCTGACCCAGTACTGTAGATGTGTGGACTTTTGATATGCATACTAGATATTTCAATCCTTCAAACAGTTGGCGGAACACACCGCGAGTTTCATTCTCGGTCATTTTCTGATTTTTCACAATCCAGTTGAACAGTTCTCCCTCGGGTGCCAATTCAAGTACCAAATAAGCGCCATCACTTTCATCAAAGGGTTCCTTGAGACACAGTAGATTCGGGTGATGAACGCCCATCAACAACGCAATCTCTTGTTGCAGAGCATTGTCGTTTTGTGATTTTTGCGAGTCACCGAGGCGTCTTTCGAAGACTTTGACTGCATACTTGTCTCCGGTAGATCGTTCAGCACACAGATAAACGGTTGCAAAGTGACCTTTGCCGAGCTGCTTGAGAATCCGGTATTGCTGACGGAAACCATTCGTTTCCCGAGTACGAGGGTAGCGGAAGACAAATCGAGCTTCATTCAGAATCGAAACTTCATCGCCGTCCTCCAGTTCTCGGTGCTTGTTACGCCCAACAATGGCATCATTAACAAATGTTCCATTGCTAGAGAGGTCTTCCAGCACAGCAACCATATCGCCTTTCTTCTTTTCAGCAAAAATGAGGAAGTGCCGGTTTGAAATTGTGGGAATTTCAAGGACGCGATCTGACTATGGTCAGAACAAACACTCGATAACCATCAAGCTATCACTTACCACACTCAGGATGACGGCCGACCAAAAAGCCACCTGGCGATTTGGCACTCTTGGAATTTTGGGCCTTCTTCCCCTTGGATTTGGCAGTATCATCACCATTATCGCAACCATCGCGCTTCCTCAGCACAAGTGGGCCATTTCCGTTCTCATCCAGTGGTAGCAGGTAGCCCCAGACCCCTTCCGCGTCCTCATCCTTCACATCGTCTGCGAATGCTCTGGGGGGATACACGAACTGTGAAAGCGCCTGGGTATCCTCGAACACTGGCGAGGAAATCGCGTGTGTCAATTCGGGTTGGGATGAGATTTGTTGATGGCTGTGGGGGCTTTCAGGGGGTGTGACAGTAAGCTCGTTCCGAGTTTCTGTAGCGGTTGATTGAGGACCGGTGACTGGGGTTGGCAAGTAGTCCAAGTCGACTGGTGTGTCTTGTTGGACTTGATTCGAGATTCTTTGAGAGCGTCGAGGTTTCTTTTGGTCTTGTGAATCCGCATCAACTGTAGCCTATAGTAACCCTTGTAAGCAAAGGAGTGGCGTTCAATTGAAATAAAACGTACCCTTCCTCGTTTGAGCGAGCTTTTCTCACGGGGGGCCATAACACAGGGCTGTTATTATGCGCGACTGGAGAGGGTTCCAGACCAATTAGCGATAGCTATCGGTCAAGTCAACAATGGTAGGAACGTCAATACAGAGAGCTTTTTTTTTTAATTCTGTGAAGAATATACAAAGATAAAAAAAAGGAATAATGAAGAATATGTGGGAGAATAGTTCTATACCTGGGGGGAAAAAGAGGTCTGGAGAAAGCTCCCCTATGACTCTCCGCCTCAAAGACTGGCAAGGGCAAGTACGATCTATGTTTAGGCATATCCATATATATTGATGTAAACTTGAATCTATAAATACTATATATAATATAACACAGAGTATAAGAGAAGTATCATGTCAATAAATAATACTGGTCGGACCTTCGTGTCTCAAAACACGTGCCCCTGACCTCATCCTCCAGGTTTCCCCATTCCGCAAACTTAGGCCCTTAGGTTCTTCACAATGGACGGGTATGTGATATTATTCAGTGTTTGTGCATCATGCTAATGGATAATCAAAGCCTCTCAGGTGGAATTAGACGTCTCGCTTTCCAAAAGCTCGCTGCTTTGGCAGTTGAGGCGCCTGCCCGCAATGGAGATGGATCCGAGCTCGCTCGTCTCGCGGAGCAGTCCCAATCGACTTCGGAGCCTGATGGTGCTCTAACGGGAGTCTTGAGGCAACAGGCCCCGACATCCCAGGTTCCAATGGTGCGTCTCTTTCTTTGCTGCTGATCCCCCCGGTAGTGTGTAGTGAGTACAGGCTAATGTTTGGACAGGGAATCCGCGAACTAGATGTCCTCCTGGCCCTATGCAAGGCGGCCTCTTCGGTGAACGATCCAGAAAATGCTACTCAATTGGCACTACAACTCTCTCGATACCTGCCGGAATCCCACAGCCAGCTATTTCGGTCCTCGCCCTTCCTCCATGGTGTAAAGCCGTCGCCCTGGGAGACTCTCACGAACAACCTGACTCTCGCGCTTTTGTCGTTGGGAACCAAGTATCCAGATTTGCGACAGACAGCCCTCGAGGCTGTGGATGGATATCTAAATAACTGCGCCGAGGCTATCAGTGCGGTCACACCTTTCCAATACTCTAGATCCGAGGCGGGGCGACAGGGTGTTATACATGAATCTGTTGCTGTTTTGTCAATCGCCGTTTCCCTTGTTGGATTTATGGAAGCCTCCGCGGAATACACTTCTATCTGGCATGCGAGCCAAAAGTTACATATTGTCGATCATCTGCGTGCGATGCTGTCCGAGCCTTTCCTAATCGCAGTTGAGACGGCTTCGTCCACCCTCCGCAATGCAAACGTCGCGGAGCATGCTTTCAAAGACTGGAGAAAATACACCCGCCGATATGCTGCTCATGGTCGCCCGTTAAGTGCTATGCTTGTGCAAGAAGGATATATGCGCTTTGTGAAATCATGCGCAGCCTCTCTGATCGGGTTCCAGCACCTGACCGATGAGCAACTCTTGGATGACTACATGACTGGCGTTGGTATTGCCAAGAGTTATGACGAAGCGGATATTTCCCTGGTCGAGCGCGTCACGGATATCATTAGTGAGGAAATCCACTTGCTAGAGGATGGCTCCGACTACCTGCAAGTCGGGTCTCCTTGGCAGCAGCACCTTGCCTTTTCTGTTAAGGGACATGCCCTAGTGGGCTTTCTCAACTGCGTGATTCTTGGCGAAGATGCAGCCAACAACGAAGTACTGTTATCCTGGCTCGAGGATACACTGCTTGACTCCCAGCAGATGTCAAACGTGGAACTGTCTGTGACAGTTTTGAAGTGTACCGCTATTCTTGCAAGAATGTCTCCAAATGGTGCATCTATTGGGAGACGCTGCCTTTTGAGATTCCTGGCCCAGGGAGGTGTGTCGGCTCGCTCTACTGTTGCCGTCGCCTCTCGGTGCCTCGCCCAGATCCTGACTATTCTTTCCGAGGATGCTGTGATCACTACCCTTTATTCACTTGGTAATGCGCTAAGCCCGAGCACAAACGTAGATCAATCTAGCCAAGACCAACTCATTGGAGACCATACCGGGCCCGGGATGAACCTCGAGGCATACCCAAAAAATGAAAGTCAGACTTCGCTCTCGGCAAATGGCGAAGATGACACTATCACGTACAGGAATGTCATCCATGCTATCGTGACAGTTGCGACTAATTGCAACGATGGCAAAATCAGTGCATTGGCCCAGTCTATGCTTCTGCAAAAGATTGGCAAGCTCAATGTGGCAGTCGATGCCTTTATCATCCAGGAAACTGCCGTCCTTGCTTTGAGCGGTGGACAAGCCGAGTTCCAGCTTCTATTGAAGTTTTATGCACGTATATACCTTGATGGCGTCAACAAAGGGCTGAACACCGTCTCTGATGCTGTTCAATGTGCCATGGCTTACCTCTCGATTACGTTGGATCAGAAGTCGCCACTCCACAGGCTTTATCTGGTCCATTTGTTGGAGAGCATTATCAATAAGGGTGATGTGCCAGACCTTGAGTACGAGCGGCACAAGGAAATTATTTTTGCCGCGGATGATATCACTCCCCTATTGAAACCGCTAGCTTTGCTCGTGTCTTCCAACGGCGTTTCTACCGGGGCTTCCCGATCAGCCTTGGAGTATGATGAAGCCATTCTGACTCTGTTCCGAGATGCTTGGTTCAACATCGCTATCCATGGAATATCCCTCAGCTCTAGTGTTGCCCAACGGCATCAGAAGGAACTCCGCCTTCTCGCACATCATTCTCCTCCTTTGGTTGCTGAGAACCACATGGACTCTCTGGAGAGCGATGTGGAATTAAACACGGTGCTCAGACGCGGGATGGGACCGCAACGAGCCATGGAACAGAAAAGAGCTCTGATATCTGAACTCCCTGGCCGAGAATCCGATATCAAGAGATTGGACTATTCAAGAGCAGTGTTTCTTAACGCTGTGGTCTTGGTCGAGAGCCTCCGTGCCTCCTCAGGGGACTCTACCAAGACGCTCAGTTATTTCCTTGACCCGGCCTTGGCCACTCCGGAGATGGTCGCATGCATGAATGCTGTTGCAGACAAAGCGGTTACCTGTTATCTGTCTCTTACACTTTCTGGAGAGCACGATGACTTTTCGACCCCTTACCTGTCTAAGCAACTTGCCGGATTCCTGGTGGCGTGCTGTCATCGTATTGAAAGGGTTCAAAGTATTGCGACGCAATGTGCCGACAGAATCATTCGCGAATGCCCTTCTGCCTTGTGCGAAAAGCATTCCCTCTTTGCTTTGCTTGAGATTTTGACTGTCATGTGGTCTTCCTGTCTTCAAGGAGAACTCGATGAGTTTGAGTGGAAGCCATCCTTGGTGTCTCCCATGGGCATTGTCAAGGTCGAATTACCCGACAACTACGCGTTGAGAAGGGCGACTCTGAATCGGTTCCATGAACGAGCCAGGACCTGGGTGACAGCCGTCCTGAACATTGCCCCATTAGATGTCAAAGGGCTACTCCAGACCTACCTTTCCGAATATGACGACGATGGTGGCTATGGACACATTTCGATGGGACGTTCATTCGCTCTTGAAATGGGCTCCTATATCCCACAAAGTGACCCACGGCTTGGGTCAATCGATGGCCACGGTAGCAGAAACTTCAATGTCGCATCTGATTTCATGGCACTGTACACGACACGCCAGAAGTACCGACGTCCAGAGATACCTTCTCTCGGCGGGTTGAAAGGGGATAATTGTAGCGGCTATGTTGAACAGCCTCGTGTTACTATTTTGCCTGAGTCTGCTGATTCTTTGGAAGAGACCCTCTCTCGTCTATATAGACAAAGCATTGCTGGCGAGGAGATTCCCCTTGTAGAAGTCAGGGATGTCCTTCGGCAGGCCGCAGGACTTATTTGCAGCACCAGCAAGCCAAGACTCTCCGTGGTTCACTACTTGGTTGCATTGCCTTTCCAGATTTTCACCAAGGAGACAGTCAAGCTCGGTGTATCTCTCTGGCTTGGAGTAATCCACGAGAATCCAAGCACTGAGCCACGGATCCTATGCGAGGTGATCGAGGCTTGGGAGAGAAGCATGAAGCGCCGCAAAGGATTGTTCGATCCTACCTTTGAATACCTTGATCCACTGCATACTAAGATTGAACTTTTGCCAACTGATAAGGATCTTATGCTTCGCATGCAGCAAAGAGCCCAAGACACTCTCTCGCCTCACCTGCGAGTTCTTCATTTCTTTGAGAGCCATTTCAATGCAATCCGCCTAGGGAATCTGCAAGATCAACAGCTGTTTTGTCGCTTGATTGGCAGTACCGTTGTCGGACTCTCAAAGACCAAGGGCCATCCGTTGGCGAGAGAAATCCATTTCCGTATCGTGCTCCTTGGTCTCAAGGTTCTAAGACATCTCAGCCCCCGGAATAGTGGCGCATCTTGGAAACTCAAGGACCAGATTCTGTCTGCTGCTTTGAGTTGGTTTACGCACCCTCCAAGGTGGTCATTCGGAGGCAATCGGCTGCAGATCAAGGCAGAGGACAGAATTCTCAGCGAGGTGACCGAGGATTTACGAAGCGTTTCAGGTATTGCTGCTCATGCGCAAGGGCCATACAAGTCGTTGCAGGCCAAACAAGACCTGCTTCAAATACTCGTGGAGAACGAACGATCCCGCCTTCGGGTTTGGCTCTTCCCGCTGGACCCGGAGCGAAAGCACCACATGCCTTCGATTGGAGGCAAGCATCCCGATGAAAGCCCCGTATATTTACTTCGGCTTGCCTGGGCGGAAAATGCAGGGTTGGCTATTCAGATGGCTGCCCGGTTCCCTTCGCCCAAAATGCAAGCTGATGTTAGATCATTGATACTCAATTTCCCCGAAAAGGTCATTGAGGAGCCAAGCGCTCTGGAGACTATGTTTGACAACTGTCTGCCCGCTGATGTCGGTTCCCAGTTGAAGTACATGCTATACTGGGCCCCCGTTACTCCTACGGAGGCCATTACATACTTCATGCCCGCTTACGGCAACCACCCTTACATCTTGCAGTACGCGATGCGGGCGTTGGAGAGCTATTCGATGGATGTTCGGTTCTACTTTGTGCCACAACTCGTTCAGGCCCTGCGCTTCGATGCTCTGGGCTATGTAGACCGATACATCCTCGAAACAGCCAAGTTGTCTCAACTGTTTGCCCACCAGGTTATTTGGAACATGAAGGCCAACTCCTTCAAGGACGAGGATTCTCAAATCGTAAGTATTAACATTGCCGAAGCTTGATCACCGGTAGCTAACCTCCCGCCTTCACAGCCGGACCCTATCAAGGATACACTCGACCGTTTCCTAGATAACTTGATCTCAAGCTTCTCGGACGAGGAGCGTGCCTTCTATGAGAGAGAATTTTCGTTCTTCAATGAAGTCACAGGTGTCTCTGGCAAACTTCGCCCCTATATCAAAAGGAGTAAACCCGAGAAGAAGGAAAAGATTGAGGAAGAGTTGCGTAAGATCAAGGTGGAAGTTGGAGTGTACCTCCCCAGCAACCCTGACGGTGTGGTCGTTGGTATCGACCGCAAGTCTGGTAAGCCCTTGCAAAGTCACGCAAAGGCGCCTTATATGGCGACCTTCCGAATCCAGAAGACAAGGCCACGATTGATTGAAAAGGCTGAAGCTAACGCCAGTGACCACCACCACCACCACCACCACCACCAGCACCAACGCCAATTGACGAATCATTCCGAGCCTGAGCAGGAAACCTATGAAGTTTGGCAGTCAGCTATCTTCAAGGTCGGTGACGACTGTCGTCAGGACATGCTTGCCCTGCAGATGATCGCGGCCTTCAGGAGCATCTTCACCAGTATTGGTTTAGATGTTTGGGTCTACCCTTACCGGGTCACTTCGACCGCACCTGGCTGTGGTGTGATTGATGTGCTTCCCAACTCCATTTCTCGAGACATGCTCGGCCGCGAGGCCGTCAACGGGCTATATGACTACTTCGTGTCGAAATACGGAGGAGAGGACTCTATCCGATTCCAAGAAGCGCGCACCAACTTCGTCAAGAGTATGGCCGCCTACTCGGTCATCTCTTACCTGCTGCAATTCAAGGACCGACACAACGGAAACATCATGATTGATGACGCCGGCCATATCATCCACATTGACTTCGGATTCTGCTTCGATATTGCGCCTGGTGGAGTGCGATTCGAGCGCGCGCCGTTCAAGTTGACCTCCGAGATGGTCGCTGTCATGAGTGGAACCCATGACCCAGCCCATCACCAGGGCGGCAGCTCGGGTATCAACCTGCCCGGCAGCTCCCACAACCCGACCAACACACAGCCATACCGGTGGTTCGAGTCGTTGGTGGTGAAGGCATTCCTTGCATCTCGCCCTTATAGCACGAAGCTGGCCCATATTGTCTCCCTCATGCTTGACAGTGGTCTTCCGTGCTTCAAGCCCGAGACTCTGAAGAATTTCCGTGAGCGGTTTGTGTTGGACAAGAGCGAACGCGATGCGGCCGAGTACATGCGAGAACTTGTGCGCAAGTCATACATGAGTGTATCGACTAAGGGTTATGATCAGTTCCAACTGATGACGAACGGTATTCCTTACTGAGAGTAAACACCTTTTATAGGTCATTTGCTTTTCTATAGAATTTAATTTAAGATGATATCTTTCTACTTCCCATTTTACCAGGTATAATCAGTTTAATTCCACATATATATCCAATGATTCTGTCTCTACTCTGTCGGAATTCTTTCGATATAAAGTATTGACGTCACGACTTCGTCGGCACGACAACACGGACCGGGTTCCCCGGACATATACCACGGACTTCAATTTTGTTATACTTGTTAGTATAGTCTACATGGTAAATAGGATGGAATAGAGACAAATTTTGATGAAAACCCCATTGGAAATCAAAATATCACATATAGACACCGCCAATAATATCTTATACTTCAATTGACACAGGGTGGCGCATTAAATGCATGACGATCTACATACTAGGTCTGAGAACTGTTCCGGAAGTGGCAATATGACGATGCAAAGACACTCGACCTAGGTCAGGCCTTTATAATGTGCAAGACACAGCCTTGGGCACGAGTTCCGAGCCTCCAATGCCAAACCCTTCTTCTTAACCAACCCAGACCTGGATTAACACATGAGATTGAATCTTCTATATATTGTAGATACACCTCCAATCTCCCATCTTCAGGATGAAAATTCCATTCCTCAGCAAGTCCAAGTCTCCGCCATTGACGGACTTGTCGGGGGAATCGGCGGTGGCGGATCGCGAGAGCGAGAAGAGAGGTATCACCATGGATGAGTCGCATGTGCCATGGGTGACTTGGAGGTCTCTGTTACTAGGCGCCTTTGTCTCGATTGGTGGTATCATTTTTGGATATGACACTGGCCAGATCTCGGGCTTTTTGGAGATGAGAAACTTCAAGCAGCGGTTTGCGCAGCTGAAGCCTGATGGGACATATCACTTTAACAATGTCCGATCTGGATTGATTGTTTCCCTGGTGAGTGGATATCGTTGCATGTCTTTTGAAAGGCCAAATCGAAAAAAGTGCCGTGAATGGAAATCTAACGCCTTCCAGCTCTCCATCGGTACATTGATAGGAGCTCTCCTCGCCGGACCATTGACCGATCGAATTGGCCGAAAATGGTCCATCTTCTTCTGGTGTATCATCCTCCACGTCGGACTGATCATCCAGATATCCTCGCCAGCAGGAAAATGGTACCAGTTCATGATGGGACGATTCGTAACCGGATTTGGCGTAGGAGCCTGCTCACTGCTGGTGCCCATGTACCAGGGTGAGGTTGCACCACGACATATCCGAGGAGCGATGGTGTGGTAAGTAATAATCCAACTTTCAACATTTGCAGTACACATAACCCTAACACAACTCCCAGCTCCTACCAATTATTCGTAACACTGGGCATCTTCATCGCATACTGCATCAACTTCGGCACAGAGAGCATGGATAGCACCGCATCGTGGCGAATCCCACTCGGTATCACGTTCCTGTGGGGTCTCGTCCTTGGAATCGGCATCCTCCTCTTCCCGGAAAGCCCTCGCTTCGACTACCGGAATGGCCGCGTGGACCGCGCCCGACGCACCATGTCAAAACTGTACGGCATACCCGAGAATCACCGGGTGATCTTGCATGAGATTGCCGAGATCCAGGAACAGCTGGATGCCGAGAAGGGGGCGCGAGGCGGGCTCCGCGGTTGGTTTGAAATGTTCAAGGCGCCACGCATGATGTATCGCATCATCCTTGGCGTTGTGCTTCAAGCTCTGCAGCAGCTGACGGGTGCCAACTACTTCTTCTACTACGTGAGTAATTTTTTTTTTCGAAAGCGCGAATTTAAAACACGTCGAGCTTGGACTAATATGATCCAGGGAACGGTGATCTTCAACGGAGCGGGAATCAGTAACACATACGTGACGCAGATGATCTTGGGCGGAGTGAATTTCGGTACCACATTCGGCGGACTATACGTGATCGAGCACTTTGGACGACGCAAATCTCTGATTGCCGGCGGTATCTGGATGTTCATCTGCTTCATGGTGTTTGCGTCTGTGGGCCACTTCTCGCTTGACGTGAAGAACCCGCCGAACACGCCCGGAGCGGGCAAAGCGATGGTTGTATTTGCGTGTCTGTTCATCACCGGGTTTGCCATGACATGGGGCCCAATGGTGTGGGCGATTGTGGCCGAGCTATACCCATCACGGTACCGGGCGCGTGCTATGGCGATGGCGACTGCGTCGAACTGGCTGTGGAATTTCCTGATTGGATTCTTCACGCCGTTTATTACTGGCGATATCGACTTTGCATATGGATATGTGTTTGCCGGGTGTTTGTTTTTCGCGGTGATTATTGTCTACTTCTTCGTCATCGAGGGTAAGGACAAGACGCTTGAGGAGATGGATATGATGTATATCATGCGTGTGCCACCGTGGAAGAGCAGCAAGTGGAAGCCGCCGGAGCCGGAGAATCGGCTCACAACCGATCAGCTTCTGGATCGGAAGGTTGCGAAGAAGTATAACAAGGAAGAGGAGAGTTCGGCCAGTAAGAAGGCTGCGGAGGTGCCTGGGCATTCACATGCTGAGACTGCAGATGATGCTGCTGGGACTGGACCTTCTTCGCATTTCTCTTGAGGGTTGAAGTTGAGTGACCTTGGGGGTGACACGAAGAGCTGAAGTGGTGGGCCATATATAGACCGAAGGGGGGAGCGGAAGTTTTTTTTTTGATGTGATATTGGGGGTAATGAACATACGGGGAAAGTTCAGTGTATATACATATATGTACTGAAAAGAATATAGAGATATAGACTTCAAAATACAATTCATAGTCCAATAACCAGTGAATAGAGGGTGTCAATTTGGGAGTCATAAGAATAAAATCATCACCAGGATGGGTAAGGAAAAAGACCCAAAAACACATGAAAACGCCGATCCCAGAGCTGGAAAAAAAATTTGATCGTCCTCCATGAATCATTTTGATACATATTCCACCTATTTGCAGAAAGAGGAAAGAACTGGGAAGACACATCGAGAGGATGGAGACCCAGAATTGATACCAGCCTGTTGAGACTTTTTGGCGTCGAATGCAGAAAAAGTAAAAGTAGAAAAAAAAGAAACCAGAGAGGTCCAGTAGCACTGATCAGGATATACTTCCCTTGGAAAGTGAGAATTAATCTCTAGTCCATGAAGTCACCTCTCAATATCTTCTCCTGAAAGAAATCCGGCTTGTTCTGCTTAGGCTGACGGGGCATTTCTCGGCTAGGCTGTTCCATAGACGCGATGGAAGCGGCACGCTGATGGTGACCGGAACGCTGGGCTGCCTGCGGGGAGACAGGGCCGCCGATGGAAGGGGCACGCTCGGCACGAGAGCGGAGGGCCTCTGACCAGTTAAAGCCTTCGCCTAAGGGTCGGCGTGATGCGTTAGATCTCTCATCCAGAGGAGACGTTGAAGTACTTGCGGAAGATCGGGTAGCAGCGAGGGCTGAGCCGGCCGGAGGGGAACGGCGCGGGCCTACAGCAGATGGAGGGGGTAATTTCTACCATTGCCTATGCTTCCTGCACGAGCATCACGCAGGGCCTGTGCACCAAAGGAGACGCGTCTCCCAAACTGCGAGTTGGGCGAAGTTCCTGTTCCTTGATCGTCCTCGAAGGCATCTTCGGCTGGAACATTGGAGCCCATTGAGCTGGATAGGCTACCTCGACGGAAGTTGCGGTTGCCACCGAAGGCGGACGTCTGGGTGGGGGAACCGGAAAGGCCTAGCGTTGTAATTGACAACCGACGCTGGTTAGACTGTTGAGTTGTAGCGTGGGTGTTGGATGGGTTGCTCGGCTTGGAGAAGATGTCGGCGATGGAACCACGACGTGGACGGTTCTCCGCATTTGGGACCGAGATGGGGGAGGTACGATCGTTAGACATTGTTCAGATGAAGGAGGGTCTGAGCTAATAGCAGGAAGATTCGGACGGACTAGCCGCCCTTCTCATAGAATAGAAGATTGGAGATTAGAGCAAGATCCAAGGAGAGTGGTATGATCTCAACTTGGAGGAAGGTGGGAGGAATGGCGAGGATATTGAAGGAATTGAAATATTTAAAGAGTTCAGAAAAGAAGAAAGAAGGGTCTAGAGGAGGAGTTAGAAATTCGAATTTAGGTAGAGAGAGAGAGAGAGAAGAGAAGAAAAAGAAAAGTGGGAAATACTGAGGTTCGGTAGAAGAAAGCTAAGCATCACATTATCTGGGGAAAGTGGCGCTAAGTGGAGAGCGTCCACGTGATATTTAGGTATTTGGTCCATTTGATTATATAATCTATTTTAATTGGTTCGATGGTTTAGTCTAGCCATTATGATTGGTCAAATGCTTGAGTGATTTCAAGGTTGAAGGAATGTGTAACCTCTTGAATATCGGTACACTATAAGCTTATATAAGGCTATATAAGGCTATATATGGGTGGTATATAGGATATATATATATCATGATTTCTATCCTCAAATTCATTTTACAATATATAACAAACATAATCAAGCTGTTTACAAGACGGGGGTATCGTGTAGAATACAAACGCCAATCCCTGCAGAAAAGAGGGGAAGCATGCTCGTAGCCCAAAGAGAGGTAAATATGTAAAATATAGACGTACATCGTGTATTGCTCGTTTCCCATAAAGTGTAAAGTGTTATATGTGCTGGATATCTGAGTTTCTGGACACTGAACCAGAAATCCCAATCCTTATTTTGTTGAAATCCCCTCCTCTGTCGGTATCTGCCATTATAGGACAGGAAACAGGCTGCAGGTTGATACACAGACAAGAGACAGAGCAGATCATTCCCAAGTCAGGAGATCAGGAAACCAGGAAATTCAAGGTATGTGAAACAACTGAATCAGCTTACGGCCAATCGTCGGCTCGATTTCAGTGCCATCGCGAGCGATTTTGATTTCCCGATTCGCATTCCAAGGGTTACGGAGGCCACGAGTGCGCTGAAAGGGCACTCGCTCCGTTGAAATCCATTGAATGCGGAACGGTTTACCAAAGGTTTGGCCCTCTTCTGGATCCTCGGGTTCGAGGGTTTTCTCCACGCTTTTCTCCACGCTTTTCTCCACGATTTTCTCCATGTTCTTCTCCATGGTCTTCTCGTTGGCAGCGTTGTTCTCATCTTCCGACGACTCGACTTCCCAGAAGATAGTACCCCGCACTGAATCATCAATGATTCGGCCTTGGGGCGCTGTCGAGGTCGCCGCTGTCAGGGTCACTTCGAGGTCGTCGGGCCCGGGCGGGGGATCGGGCCGAGATGGCATCTCCAAGGCGAGTTCTTCGTCGTCGCTGATTGGTGACATCATACGCGCGTATCCAAAATATTCACCCGATTTGTTGGCAGAGAAGATTAAATAGACGTAATCGGTGGTCTGGGCAGAAGTCAGTTTCAGGTTAACTGTACTGTATATAGATCTATACTCACCTCAAAAGCCTGATTCATCGCCGCCTCGTTGTGCGACTGCGTAGCCCAAATGCCACTTTGCTTGCTCAGCTCGAGATCCTCTACCGTCAAACTTTTAACAATAAAGTACCGATCGACAAGCCGGGCCGGGGGCGGGTAGTTCCCCGTAGCGGGCGCTGCCGAGCTGAGCTCCGGTGTGATTGTATGTTCCTCGCCCGGGTTCGTAGTAGTCATAGCTGTAGCCGTGGCCGTAGAAATATCGTCCAATCGTCGTGGAGCATGATTCACCATGGGACCTGCCACACCTACAGATCCAGACCCCGGAGCAGTGAACCCCTTTCGCAATCGGCAGACAACACGCACGCCCTGAAATCGGGAGTCGTGAAATCTCGCCAACGCCGAGACACAAGCAGCAGCCGACTTGTAATTCACAAACGCACAATTACTTTTGGAAATTAGAAACACACTCTCGATGTCGTTTGTTGCATCTTGTGAAAAGTGATCCTTGAGATCCATGACGTTGGCTCCTGGGGGAAGGTTTCCGACCCAGAGCGCGTGGCCGGATTGCTTTGGCTTTCGGGGTGGCCCTCGGGGGGTACTCGGGGCGGTCGGGGCGGGTTGCAAAGAGGAAATATTGTCTTTAGATGAATTGCAGGTTAGTAACAGTTTCCAAAGCGAGAGGTCCGGAGAAAAAAAGCTCACCAGAGAGGGGTTGGGGCACTGATTTCATGGGATTCGATCCATCCACGATGGTCTTTGAGACATCGTATTCCAATTCCACCATTCGTTTATCGGCTTCTTTGCGCAAAGAGCCCGGTTTAGATGGGGAACTCGAGGTAGCACGGACTGGGGGTGAAGCCTGGGGCATCTGGCCAGTAGGTACTCCATGTCCGTAAGGGGTCCCGTACGGCGAAGGAGGGTAATAGCCCGAGGCATATGGAGATATTTGCCCGGGACTGAGGTTTTGCATTTGGGTTCCATGTGGCTGGTAATGAGTTCCATGTTGAGGGATCACATATGGCGGATAAGCTGGGTAAGGCATGCCGTATGTCATGCCGGAGTTGTGTCCATACGGAGGCATTGGCATAGGATACATCATGCCTTGCCCATGGGCTGCCGGATACTGATGCATTGACTGATCATATGGGGAACCTTGCGAATGGCCTGGAAGCGAGTATCCCATGCCCATGTTTAAGGGAGAAGAGGCGGTTCCATATCGAGCTTCTGCGAAGCTGGAATGGTGTCTGACATTGGGTCGCGCTGAAGCAGGAGATGCACCTGAGAAGAGATTTAGTCACTAAAAAAAAAGCCTTGGATAGATTTTGAAAGGACTAACCTTGTTCTGATACCGGTGCTGTCCCGTCGGCTGTCTTTTCTGAAGGAACATCGCCCATGGGGGCCGTTTCCTCAACCTTTCAATTGGAGGCTTTTGAAACTATATAGATTTTAGTCACTGTAGAAAATGACCTCGTCGAGATCTTACCTGTAAGTCAATAGCCCAAGGCCACTGTTCTAGCAATTCCACAGCAAGTCAGACTGCTCCCGTGCACGGTAGAAAAGAAGTAGAATGGAGCGTAAAGGGAGTGCAAAGATCAGATTCCAAAGCGAAACTCGAGCTATGCAAGTTAGTTCAGAAATATAAATAGAATGTGTGCTAAGAGAGGAATCGAGGAAGTCGAGGAAATTGAAAGGGGAGAAAAAAAGGAAAAATCAGCGCAGAGACACGCACTAACACCCCTCCTTTTAGACCATGAGCCCAAAGCTCACCAAATTAAAGTAGGTGGGACAATGGAAAAGATATCAGGGAATTATAGAGAAACAGGTAAGATATAGGGGAAGCTTAAGGCTACCTGGAGTCAAGATATGTCAAATGACACAAGAGAACTACCAGATCAAGAGAATATGAAACAAGAGAAAAACGGTAGGGGAAAAATGTTGACATACCTTTCAAAAGGCGTTGTGTTACTTTAGACAAAAGGAGAAAGTGTCTTGATCAATTAAAGAGCCGAGGCTGGAAGCTTTGAAAATTAGAAGATATACAGGAAAAGAGCCCTGGAGAGGCCAAGGAAACTAAATAGTGTATATGTTCATGAACCTGGGGGGTGGGTTAAGGGGAACTGAAGCCAATCAACTATCTTGGCAGAGAGCTGTGGCTGAATATGTCAATGGCTTTCAAAACCTTGGAAGTATAGATATATATAAAAAGAAAAAGAAAAAAAAAGATGGACGGATGGGTTCGGGACCGTATAACAGTTTTATAGTGAAAAGAATATACCGTTTCCAGTCTAGTGATATCCAGAGGGACAAGAGACTGGGACTCTCGGACAAATAAAAAATAAACCGTGTGGCCTGAGGATGGTCATTCATGCGAACAGGTGCAGAGCGTCCTTTTTTTTTCTTTTTTTTCTTTTTTTTCCCTTTTTTTTCCTTTGGGCACTGTGATGGGTATCTAGGCGGGGCCAGCAGAGTTGTCACGATTGGGGGCATATATTATGTTGGGGGAATGAGAAATTGGAGTGTCTTGCCCGAGCCTCCTAAAGCCTAGACCAATGGAAGTTGAATGCATAGATTTGCCACTGGAGAGGAACGGGAAAAGTACCAAGTTGAAAAGAGCCGAAAAAAAAAAAAAGTACCCAATGAGAAAAGGGTATAGCGTATGGAATGAGATGCCAAACTTGTACAACGGTACAGGCGCCAGGCGCCTATCAAACTGGGACAGAATGAGGCTTTGGATCCGACGGAGGCGTTTCATGACAACGGCGTAGACCGATGGGGCTGTTCTGGATACACTCCCACTAGGCTCGATCATAATCCCACCAATGGATATATTCCAATGAATGTTCCAATGAATATTCTAATGGGACTCAGTTCTCGGAGTGGGAGTACAATATTGTAGATTGTTTCCCGAGGTTTAGGCCCATTTTAGAGGCGACATGTGCTACTGTATAATGCAACAGGGCACAATCATCCTAAGGAAAAGCTCCAATATATTGCGTATGTGGTATTGACTCTGGGGCACTGTTTCAGAGTATATGCCGTGGATACGTTGTACCCTTGAGTGGGGATCAATGGAGCTTGGGAAAAAAAAAAAAAAAAAAGAAAAACATAACTATGCACATCGCCGGGGAGTTTTCCCCCTAGCAATGAGCCAATTGAAAGAAGATGTGGGAAGAAGAGACAGAAAAAGGGACAAAAAGCGAAGTGAAGTTGGATCCACCTGATTTATCCATCGGCATCTGATGCCAGCCAATCAGAAGTCAGCATTAGGACTATAGGTATATAGAACTACTTAGGCAACATATATATCTCTGTATAATAGAAAAGAAATAAAAAAAGAGAATAGAATACTTCTTTTCTCATTTGTGCCAATTACATGTGCTCATACCCATACAAGTATATTATGCCATGGGAAGAACCTAGACATATATCCACTAGAACCGGTGGCTTTCTATCAACCCAATCAGTCCTGTTAGAAATAGCCACAGTGACTCTAGAGGCATTTAGGCATTCAACTTTGAATCCCGGTGGGTACCAAATAATGTCTCCAAGTGCTTTGTAGAGTGTGTATAAAGGTACGTTGCATCCGATTAACCCGAGAATGTCTTTCTACAGTCCCAGGGAAGTATGAAATGATATGTGTATTTTGTTCCATGTACATTGTATACATATATATATACATTATATAGATGGTATGATATTCTTCCTATTGGATATCAAGTATCGGACTATTTCTCCGGGTCAGCTGACCAGTCCACTTTATATAGATATGTTAGAAAGTTGTAGACGTCTATCGTATGTTGCATATTCGACTCCGTATCAAGAAATGCATTTTCAACTATGACTCATATTCGTTGCCACACTCCACTATATTAAAGTACACGCCAATTAGATCCGCACATTTCCTGACGAACATCCTACGATCTACAATATATATATATAGTACACCAAGTACATAGAGTGGCCACTGACGCACGTTGATGTATGTGAATCTTCTAGGGTATTCTACCGTACATTTCAAAAGTTAAGGGGATCAGCGATCCCAGGTCTTCTCGAAGGTCTTCAACGCCACATTGACACCTTAGGCGCCACAGCTGACGTCATGGGATTCCTCCACTTCTAGTTATATTGATCTATATCGATCTATACGCTATGACTCGAATTCTATACTCGGAGAATTGCGCCATATACCATGCAGACTCTTAAGCCACAATCATATGTATACTTTTGTATGTGAATGACAATTCTAGCCTTTATGGCTTTGTAATGGCCCCCTATCATAATATACACTCATTGCAGGGATCAGCAGGGTATCTCCGAGACCATATTACGTTCCAAAAGAAATGGACCCCTAGCCACGTCTACATATCTCCATATCCATGTACGGAGTAGGAGTACTCCGTAGACACTTCTATTTTCATCTAGAAAACTGCAGCTCCTTCTATCCCCGGCCACCGCTAGACGCCACAGCCCCACGACGTTGCAGTTCTAGCTCCATGATCGTTGGGATTATCGTCAGCTGCTGGGGTCAGTGTGGATGCGTGGGCGTAACATTGCCACTGTCAGGCAACTTCGTTCTATAGGTACCGTATCAGTATACAGTAGAGAGTATCGATGGTTTGTTTATAGATACGGGAAAGTGGATGACAGCCGAGGAAAGGAAAACAGGGATATGCCAACTAGCTCAATTCGATATATGCCGGAGATAACCATTCAAGGACTTGACCATCACGATTGATTACTGCGATAATTGATTCTCCTCAAAAGCTCGACAAGTACAAGTCGCCCATAACTTCGGACATACACCAGTGCACAACTACATGTGAAACAAAATAATCAAAACGCAGGGCAAAGGGAACAGACCCGACCCATGTTTGAATTTGTCCTAGGAAGACAATAAACCACGAAAGTGGTGAGCAACCATCCAAAAGCAGGATATGCCAGTATCAAGAATTGACACGAACAAGTGAAAAAGAAAGATATCCCCGCTTGCACCTCATAAAAGTCAGAGCCAAAGAGTGGGAGAGAAAAAAACGAAAGAAAGATTCTGACCAGAAACAGAAACGAAAGGAAAAAAAAAAAAAAAAAAAAGTCATCAAGAGGGGAATTTTCATGCGGAATCTCATTAAACACTGATATAATTACGATTATGGGCAGCGCTGATGTGTTAGACGGGGGAATATAGACAAGATGAAGCGCGGGAGGAGAAGCCCTTTATCGATCAATTCCAAGTGAAGCCACTTTTCCCGCAAAGCGGGCGCCAGCGCTTCCTCGTTTGGAGAGCTTCTCTCTGTCTTTGTCCCTGCTCTCTGCGAGAGTTGGAGCGTTGGATGAAGTGGAAGATTCCTTGCTGCGGATAGTTGGCAGAGAGCCCAGGGTATCGTTTGCAGAGGACTTTCCACCTAGCGGCGGTGGAGGCACGCTGAAGGCAGATGGGCGGGCGGTCCGTTGGCTGAGGTAGAGTTTTGCTGCAGGGGATAGAGGGATGGAGGGGGTTGTGGCGGGATCTCGGCGCCGTTTTGGACTAGCAGCTCGGCGATAGGGAATGGAATGGCCTTTGCGCTAGACCTGGCGGCGAGAGTGGTCGGTGGGGAGCCCGGGGACGCAGGATCGGCTGCGGCGAGGGCAAGGAAGGTTGCGTGTGTGTTACGGGAGCGATCGGTGATGTTTACATTGCCACGCAGGGCGAGGCCGTACAGGACACCTTGGATGTCGTTCTTTTTGATTGACGTCAAAAGGGTTTCATCAGGTGTTGCAAAGCGAGAATGTGGTGAAGGCAGATGCTCAACGTAGGCTCGATCAACATATTTGGCGGTGATGAATTTCAACCGGTGTTCTCGTGTAGAACTGGCGCTCGGCTTGAGCGTTTGATCCAGGTTCGCCTCCCAAATCATGTTGCTGACGCGATTGCCAATCTGTAGGAGAATCTCGACGATATCGTTCGAGAAGGAATGTACATCCAATGTGAGAGAGCGGATCTTAGAGATATGCGTGCCCAGAGAGCGGTGAATTCCACTACATTCAATGCAGAGAATGATTCCGAGGTTGATGGACACCCACTCAACCTTGGACGATGATCCGCAATCAGCACACCAGTTGTTGCCTTGGTCCGCATCCCGTACAACCTGCAGAAGTTTTGCGGGATTTTCTTCAAAGTTGTTGCTATCATGACGGACATAGCCCGGGCGCGCACCGACTGTTGTTCGGCGGATGACGCCAGCGTTGTTGCCTGAGCTAGAGGAGGAATAGGAGTGGTGGCCAGACACAGATGAACTTTTCCCTGTTAGAGCGGAGCCAATATCCCGACTGGTTGGCCTATCATTCCTAGATGCGGAGGGAGGTGGAGTCTCTTGGCCTTCAACCGCACTCTGCAGCGCGTTGTTGATAGACCTGATCC